TATTTGGGTACTTAGTAATTTTTTCCCCACGAATTTATAAATGAACTTATAACCATGGTTTAATTGGATATTAACAAACCGGGTCTCGACACAATTTCCTTATACCAGCAGCAGATAATTTATAGGTGCCCCAATCGCGTGCACTGCCTTGTGCAGGTCTCCTGGTCAACTGAAATCCGACGAGGGATTACAGTATGGCCTTATTGTACGGCAGATCTCGCGTCGTGGGGCGAAAATCTCATCGGTCATTTCCCCTATTGCGTTCGTGCGCTTTGGGAATTAGGGTTGTACGAACGCCCCCGATTTTCTGCAACACAATAGCACTTTGAAGGCTACTGCACGCAAGAAGAAGTGAAACTGAATTGCCAAAACGTTGAGGCGGTGGCACAGAGAACGTAATCTCTGCTGCCCTAGATCTGCGTGGGGTTATTTTTGGTGTGGTGTGCACGCCTCAGCTTTTCTGTTCTAACTGATTTTTCGCTCTCACTGGGGTCTCAGAGATTGGCAGAAAAGGTGATGTGACTGACTCAATCACTGGTACACTTTGGGGTTTGGCCACGCGATTTCAGACTGGAAGTGGGGTCGGTGGAAAAAAGGCAGGTCTTTAGGGCGTGGATGTTGTGTACTTGCACAGCAGTGGCCCCTTTATTTTCTGTGGCCAACTATTGTTCTTCGATTGCGGGCTATAAATAGCAGGGCAATATGAACGAGCACTCACACAGACAAATCCATACAACAACAAGTTGGTAAGAAAATAGCATTCTACTTTTTTTTTGCAGTGGACTCTGCTTACACATTAGTGCCAAAAAAAAAGAAAATAAGACAATATCAAATCGGTTTAGGTCTCAGTAAACCTGGGTATTTCATTGGTCTTCCTTATTACTTCCCCATTCTTGCTTTTTTAAAAAAGAATAAAGGGTGAGCTCATCCGTGTTTTTTGGTTGTTTGAAATTGTTAGGTGGGAATGAAGAACACCATGCAAATTGCGCAGGTTGACGAGAATGTGAAAGGCTGGACAGTTTTGATTCAAGTTGTTGAGCGCAGCAACATATTTGTTAGTCAAAAGGATCAATCCATTTCTTACCGTCGATTTAAGTTTGCTGACTCTGAGGTGATGTGCATGATACATGATCCAGCCCTCTATTTTTACTATGAATCATTTTCCTTTAACGTATGATATTTGAGTTAACGTTGGCGCCTTATTTTTTCTTTAGGGCACGCAAGTTGGGGCAGTAGCGTATAACAGTAATATTAGGGAATCCTCGCCTATGCTGCAGCTTTATAAGAGGTACTATATTTCGGGGGCTGCATTAAAGAGGGCAGACCCGAAATACATGGTTGGCTCTTATCCGTTCACATGGACAATCACCAACCGCACTTTGATTCAACCTTCTGAGGATAAGCTGCCTGAGAAACTGGACTGTCACATTCACTGTGAGAAGTTTGGTAATTTGCATAGATTTGTGGACACCGAAGATCTGCAGAGTATGTTGTATCTCATTTTATAGTTATACAAATGAAGTATAAAATATTGCTGTGTTCAAATGTTTTCTTGTCGTGTCTCTGCCGTATTTGTGCTGACTCGTGTGTGGTGGTATGTTGTTGCGCAGATGTTCAGGGCGTCGTGGCACATGTTTTTCAGATGAAAGATGTTGGAGTGGACGCGGTGAACAGAGACATTGTGTTGATCAATGAAGAGTAAGCCTTATCTTACCTTAAATATGATGGATGCTTTCTTGTCGGCTATTGTGGTGTTCTTGACGACAGTGTTTATATTGTAGGCTGGTTCCAATGGTACTTACTCTGTGGAATG